CCTGTAGATGTGGCTGAGCGCAGCCTGTTTCCGCCTTTGGGCCCTGCTTGAAGTTATCAATATGTATGAGAATGTCAGTGAACAGAAAGGACTCATTAACATATTGTTTACACTCAGCCGACTTAGGTCACGTCCTCTGTTTGATAGTCTTGACCTGTGCTGTCTCGGGAAGCGCCTCAGGCCTGCGCCATTTTGACTTTTTGACCTGTGGAGAAACATAGTGGGGATGTCTGCTAATTGCTGTCCAGTTCAAGAATCTGTCAACAGACTTCTTCTGTAAGTTTCCGCTCCCTCCCTCCCTCTGTCATTGTCTTCATCCCTCTATATTTCATCGCTCTTGTTTTAAAACTTTGTCCCCTCCAGAAGGCAATTTGTACCCATTTAGCAAAGAGATGTGCTTGACAGGCAATGTGTTGTGTTGTTGCTGTTTTGTTACAAAAAGATAAACTCCCATCAGCCACTGTTGGCTGAGAGTCTTCACTCCTCTGTCCTCATTCGCCACAGCTGTGCACATCGATCCGCATCAGGACACTTCAGATCATATCAGGGAGGTTTCTTATCACAGAAAACACCAAAACAGCAGCCGCCCTCTCTCCACACATGTTCTCATACTGTAGGTGTTTAGCCTTTGCTGTTACAAATAGCTCAGATGGCTGTTTATTGTTTCAAATCTTCATATATTCTCAGCACATTTCTGTAAAATGAAGCTCTCTGTTAGCATGTCGGGTCATGTTTGTGTACGTTGTTGTGCCATGGTTTTAAAGCCAATCCTGCACCTGAACTACTTTGTAAATGATTTATAGGCATTTCATATTTTGCAAAGAGATCTTCAGTTACAGCCGCTCTAATCTCTTTCCAGCCTAGAGGGTCTAGTGAGGCTCAGAACACACTGAAACCATAAGCCGCTCCTTATGTCTCTTTGCCCCTCCCATCACACCTTGTCTCCTAGTGACAGCGTAAACCAGAACTAGGTTTGTATGGAACTGTGAGGTTGTCTTTGGATTTTCTGCTGGTCTTTTAGTGTTTGTAGGTCGCTCTCATTACTCTGCGACGTAGAATCCAAGGTCAAAGTGTTTATTTGTCATATGCACAGTTAGGAAACTTGTTTCCCTGTACAATGAAATTCTAACTTTGCCGTACCAGACAGTGATGCAGCTGGTCAAGATGCTCTCGACGATGCAGCTGTAGAGGTTGCAAAGGATCCTAGGCGACATGCCAAACCTCCTCAGCCTCCTCAGGAAGTACAGCCATCGTTGGGCCTTCTTGACCAGCTGTGTGGTGTTAAGTGTCCAAGTGAGGTCCTCACTGATGTGGACACCCAGGTATTTGAAGCTGCTCACCCTCTCCACTTCAAGCCCCCGGATGAAGAGCGGCCGATGAGATCTCCTCTCCTTCCTCATGTCCACTATCATCTCCTTCGTCTTGTCCATGTTGAGGCTGAGATTATTGTCCTTGCACCATGACACCAGACTGGCCACCTCCCTCCTGTAGGCTGCTTCGTCCCCGTCAGTGATGCGACCTATCACTGCGGTGTCCTCCGTGAACTTCAGGATGATGTTGTCTTTGTGGGAGGCAACACAGTCGTGGGTGAACACGACTGTGTTGCCTCATGTCATGTCACTGCTTTCATTGGCCCTCCTGCACCACTGTTCTCTCTCCTTATGCTATTTACTCTTATCTTGATCCCTTCTTCTTATTAGAATGTATAGTTGGGAGAGCACAGAGACATTACTAAAACAGAGCCATGCTGGTCAGAGTCCGGAAGGAAAAGAATCAGTTCCACAGACTCACAGAGAAAAAGGAATAGAAGGAAACAAACAGCACCAAGAAACAACACTGGCCTTTGCAGCAGACTCACTTGTGCAGTTGCACTTTAATATGCATCTGGTGCTATTTCCATCACTTCCTCCTCTCTCTCTCTCGCTGTCCCTTTTCACCATCTGCCCAGGTGCTAGTGTTTTCCCAGACGTGCTATTAAAAAAAAAACTGGTCCTCTATCACTTAGCGGTTCTGAGCGTTGTTTTGCCCTTCAGTTTCTCTTCCTGGATTGACTGAGAAACATCCTTCCTTCCCACCTGGTTAATCCACATCTCTTCACAGATTCTGTTAGTCAGGACTCTCATATGCAAGTGGTTACTCTGGACTTTGTACTAATGACATGTGTGCACACATCAGTCGACATTTTGCTGTCATGCAACAGCGGTTCATGTCACTGCTTCGTCTTTACTGATATGTTTTGACAGTTACTGATGTCTCATAATCAAAATAACTAACAGATGTACATGGTAAACATGCAAAAAGCTGCAGTACAGAACCTTAGCAGACAGTTCTGGTCTGATTTGAATTATGGCATTTTTCCATTTCTTCAGTGTTAATCACAACAGTTTTAGTTAAAGGTATCTTAAGGAGTGTGTGGGATTTATCAGGATGACTCACTTTACTTCCAAAAAGCATAAAAACTATGGCAAACCCCAGATTCAGTCAGTGAAGCGAAACCACAGCAGTTAACAAGAAACCCATCCTGAAACTTCATTTGTTCCTTCTTGCAAATTTTCGTTCCTGCTTCACAACGAGGGTCACGTACAGCAGAGAGAACGAGGGGCGTCGTACTTCTGCTCTCTCTGCTGACTTTGATTTACTATTTGCAATTTCTGTCTTGGCCTTTGGTCCAAAATAAATCTGTCAACCGTTGTACCAACGATTTGCCGCCTGTAAATCAAAACTCAAACGGGATCAAGACTCCTCCATCAGCACTTGAGGCATTTTACTATTTATGGTCATTTTTTTTTTAAATACAAAAATATACAATGTGTTCAATTTATTAGGAACACCTAACTGAAACCTGTTCAGTCTACTGGAAGGGTCATGCAATAGCTTCTAGCTTTCTGAAGGTTTTCCTAGTTTTAACTAGGCGTACTAATAATCTGACACACGCTGCAGCACACGTGTACAGGAGCACTCTGGTACACAGACATGGTGACGCCACACAGATGTACTGTATTTGTGCATCTAGTGTGTCACTGCTTTCACCTGCCCACCGAAGTCGTCTTGCTTAGTGGCACTGAGACTCCTCCGGTGCACTGAGGACGAGGTTTAAATTCCGACACTGTAGAGACTTGTAAGGAGTGATACACTTCTTACTGTAGTTCCTGTCAATGATGAATGAAACGACTGCTGAAGAACGCCCCTCCAAACACACACAGTCACATGATGCCCTCTGCCTCCTGAGATGTTAAACATGCTGCAACCTGAAAGAAATATTTTCTTATATATCTGGAGGATGAGAAATCGTGTGCCAGCGGGTACAAGTATCGAGGAGGTCTCACATGTACAGGCCACGCAGCGCCGGGCCAAGTATGTGTCAGATAAATCTGATCCGGTTCATGATACTCTTCTTACAGGTAAAACACTTATTCACTTTTTGCTTATTCCGGTGTTTTGATTTTATAATAAAAACTGACTCACGGTTTGTGTGTGTGTGTGTATTTTCTTAAGCACTGTTTATTCAAAGAAGGCCTGCTGGGTGTGTAGCACTGCCCTTCCACATTGTCACCCCAGACAGCCATGGGTTTATGCTGTTGGCTCATCACTGGTATAAACTCAGGTTTAGCACTTTGGTAGCAGAAGAAACGAGTTAGGATACCAGAGGCTCAGCTAAAGACAGTGAAAGTGTTTGCCATGCTACTGTCAGCTAGTTGTAGGTTTTGTATTTGGTGCCGGGCAGGTAGTACACAAACCTCCATCTTATGCATCACAGTAAATGTATGATAGAAATGGTTTCTACTTGGTGCTACTGTAATTATCTGTTGTCTCACTACTTTGGTTTGGTTCTGCTCAGACCCTATTTTTGCATGCTGTGCTGCCACCCCCCATCATTTTCTGGCTGATACTATAATATGGATTGTCCAGTAAATGTCAAAATAACCTTAAACCAGAAAAAGAATTTCTCAAAGCAGACTGAGCATACAAACGTGTTACCTATGTAAAAGGCTAAATAAATGCTACTAAATCTTATACACATGGAAAACGGATCAATTAAATATCTCACTTTCCCAAAACTAAATAACAGGACTTGTTCCTTTAATGGCATTGTGTGGCATTTAGACAGCTCTGAGAGTGTTTCACCGGGTGATGAGTAAATGGGAGTGTTTCTCTGTGTTCCTAGATAAAAACTGTGTTGAAATTGATCAACTATAGTTGAATCGTATGACGATGAAGCCTGAAGCTTTCACGGCACTTGTCAGAAATTGTTTGAGTCATTTTGAATATGTGAACATTTGCATATGACTGATGCAGAACAAAGGATTGTGACCCACATGTGCATCACAGATCATTTACCGTGGCCACTGAAGTGACTGATTTCCAATTACACAGCAAAACTGCAGATTAAGTTGTGGTGAGTAGACTTGCACAAAAAGTCCATAAAGTATTAAATAACTGCATATATATTCTAAACATTCCTCTAAACACGTGCACTGTTGCAGCGGTGTATGGCTTGACGTTCACATAGTAACACATGTTTCCTCCAGGGAAACCAGTGACGTTAACAGCTCCACAGCTCACGGAGGTTTCCTAATAATTAGTTAGAAGCGTGGTTCTTTCTAATCTGGTTGGCCTTCGGCTCTCAACGTGCTGGACTGTAAATGAACTGCTTCTGCCTCATTAGAGCCTGGTCTGTGTTATCACCCACTAAACTGTTGAGACCAACAGCAGTGTGGGCTGTTATTTTTCATCTGCTAAAACCAAGTGCTTCACTCCTCAAGGGTTTTGTTGTGCTGTGCTGAACTCAATTAGGAGTAATGAAACACTTTGTAATACTTTGGGACAGAAGCTGCACATCGTGTTGTCCATGTTGCCCGCTGTAGGCTGCTGCGCACACGCACACCAAAACTCTGCCAAACTGCCACCATCACGCCAGGACACTCATGTAGTTTTACACATTTTTTGTCTGGTAACTGTGTTCGGTCATTTCTTTTGTGTGTGTGTGTGTCTGTGTTTAGCTGAAGTGGGGTTTTTGTGTAAGACTCCAGCCATAGCTGACATCGTGATTCTGGTGGACGGCTCCTGGAGTATCGGTCGCATCAACTTCAGGCTGGTCAGGATGTTCTTGGAAAACCTGGTCAGGGCCTTTTCTGTGGAGTTTGACAAGACCAGGATCGGTGAGAAGGCATCACTGTAAAAGCTTGTATTCATTCCATGTGGTGGAGGTTTTATTCACAGTGCTGTCCAGTCGCCTCTGTAGTGTGAGAGCTTTAGTTGTAATTGTAGACGAGATACCGATGTTTCCAAAGTAAAATGTGTATAAACTGAGCCACAAATATTTTTATGGTGGTGTTGCTGACTGTAATACTCACATGATGTATGACTTTGTGTGCACAGGCCTGGCTCAGTACAGTGGAGACCCCAGGATCGAGTGGCATCTTAACGCCTACACCACCAAAGAGGCTGTGATCGATGCTGTGAAGAACCTGCCGTATAAAGGAGGAAACACACTGACAGGTAGGCTGTCGAGGAGCCTCCCTCCAGCTATAATGGTCCTCCATACTCATCACGGCTAACAGATGAGGCTCAGAGTCCGACTTGGGCCGAAGCCAGTCCTCTACCTTGGCTTATTAAATTCACTTGAGTGCAGTCCAGTTCAGTTCAGCGTTAAAAGGTTTATGACCCTCCAGCCTTGACCTGATAAGACCGGACTGTGAGTCAGAAGGTCGGTGTTGTTCAATTAAAGTGTTGACATCAATCTGACCACAGATTCAAACTGCAGACTACTGCACTGTCACCCTGGAGGAGGTCGCTCTTTTTTCAATGTTTGATTTAATGAATTGAGGTTTTGGTGTACTGTTTGCATTAGCCATGCTGTTAATACTGCACATCTCTAATTCAGCTGATTTTGACTGATATTTTATTTATAGTGAAGGGTTTTGATTGCCTGAAAAAGGAGGTGGGACAAAGCTGAAAACAGTTTTTTTTTTCTTAGCTCATGAAAAGCTGTGAGTGCCACAGTGAAAAAGATGAATCCCTGTTCAAGGACCAGCAGGGCTGGAGACAATCTGTTGTGCTGCTTATTATGTTAACACACTCATTACTTACAGCTAATAATGAGATTTTAAACTCATCAGGTTCATTTAGTCTTTGGCTGTGACTCTTGAAACTCAGAGCAAAACTGTCACACCCCTGTTCACTTAACTCACTGTTACAGCTTGTAAAAAGTCTATAAGTGACTATCGGTCATTTTCAGCAGCACATGTCAACGTGTCCAACGCGTGATGAATAAAGCCTGTCAAAACAAGGATTTAGGAAATGCATATCTCCCAGCTGCTGCATATTGCTTACCTTCAGTAGCTTACTCCTGCTTTGCTTTTAGCTTTTGTTGTAATTTTAATACTATAACTGCTTAATGGAGAAAATTCTGAAAGGTTATTGGCTACAGTTTTTAGTTCTTGATTTTGGGAAATATGTGGGTCTTGTCTTAAAGCTGCTTCGTCTTTAGTCGGATGTTTTCTGCACACAGACGATGCGACACTGAATCGTTCCCGCCTGGTTTTTCTTCATGTCTCCTGAAGGCAGCTGAGCCACAGCACACAGTGCACTGAAATCAAAAACTTATTCTATCACCATTAAGTCAAATCATTACTGTGAAATAAACATTTTCAATTTTTCACAGAGTTTTCTCATGACCGATCTGTCACCAACCTCTGAACTAGTTTTAATTTCCCTCCATTTAAGAAACAAATAAAATAAAATCTTTTTTTCCCCTCTAAATATGCAGGACCATGAATGTGTGTTTTGCAGGGTGTTGACATGCTTAGTGTCTGTCTCACCCTCTGTTCACTGTCTGTGTGTCCAGGTCTGGCTCTGAACTTCATCCTGGACAACAGCTTCAAACCAGAGGCTGGATCCAGACCTGGCATTCCCAAGATAGGAATCCTCATCACAGACGGGAAATCCCAGGATGATGTGATACCGCCCGCACGCAGACTGAGGGAAGCCGGGATCGAGCTGTTTGCCATCGGTACGACCCAGTACTAACACACTGATCATCCAGATGACTTGCATGTGTTTATAGCTTTGTTGTGGGAAACTGTGGTGCTTGAAAAATTAATTCAGAAAAATCTACAAGACCTTTTTGCGGCTAAAACAGCCAAAGACCCGACACGTGATCCTGTGACTTGAATTCTTTGTCGGCCACTGAGTTCAGATTGATTCTCTAAACCACAAACAGAAGAAAATCTTTATTATATTTACAGTTCTCACGGCTTCATTGAGTTGTCTGTGCTGCAGCAGAACATGATGGTCTCTGCTGTGTTGGGTTTATTGATCAGTCAACAGAAAATGTGGATTGATTGTGATTGCATTCCTCATTTTGCTCATTCACCATATTTACTTCTGTTTTTGTTTCTGCTCTCTCTAAACAGACTCTTTTGCTTTGGGACAAAACAGGATTCCACTTTGGGCTGGAGAATTTCTTTATTACTTGGATTATTTAATCAAAGCTTAACATAATCATAAATTACAACCCTGCAAAACATAGAGATAACTAAATGTTCACTGTGATAGATCACGTGTCTCCAAGTTCATTTGCATTGAGGATGAAAATGGAACAAATTTACAGCTGTAGGGAAGGAAATCTGTCTCTGTGGGCTAAAACCTGCAGCGTCACAGTTTCTTTAACAAATTTCAGTGTGTAAATGGCAATGCAGACACTCAGGTCACGTGAGTGGAGCTGTTAGTGCTCAGATCAATCCAGCCTGACACATTCATTTAAACATTAAGTGTAAAAAGCTGTGGAGCTTTTTATCCAAACTTTTTTTCTTTATTATAGATGCAGCACATTTCATAGTTTGACAGATTATTTTGGCTTTTTTTTTTTTTTTTTAGATCAGTTAAAGGCTGCATATATTTATCAGCTAGCTGCATCCTCACAGGCTTTCACATTATTGCTCCCAGTGACTCATCACTGTCTTTCTGTTTACTTCCCCCTCCAGGTGTAAAAAACGCTGATGAGAATGAACTGAAGTCCATCGCCTCGGCTCCTCACGAGACTCATGTCTACAATGTGGCGGACTTCAGCGTGATGAGCAGCATCGTGGAGGGTCTCACCAAGACCGTCTGTGACCGGGTGGAGCAACTCGACAAGCAGATCAAAGGTTTGAGCAGCAGCTTCGCTGACGCTGCAGACACACTGCATGGCCTTCGCTCTGATTACCCCACCGATGTGTGTGAGCACTGGGGACAGTCCGGTCCCTAGCTAATGCAGTGTCGCACTCCCATCTAAATCATGGGTTTTCAACCAGTGGTCTGTGGCCCACTGCTAATCCACAAAGACATTGCAGGTGGTCCCTGACCATGCATTCAGTAATGATCCGTTTCCATGTATTACTCATTGTGAGTTATCAAATCCATGCACATATATAAAGTTTAGAAAAGCCCAGCTGACTCGTAGGATTAAAGTGACACCCATCTGCTCTACCCACCCCACAACAGTGGTCCTTGGGTCACTTCTTAGTCAGAATTGTGGCTCCAGTTGGGGTCACAATTAGTTGAAAACCCCTGATCTAAATCATGACATGCCCCCACCCTCGTGAAAAGTAACTCTAGCAGGTACATGATTTATAGTTTGTCCTTTTGTCACATAAATAGAGTTCTTTAGGGTGCATCCAACAGATAGATGCACCATGTGTTTTCTTGTTCAGGAGGAGAACCTGCCACCCCCAGCTCTGTAGCTCCTCCCCGTGACCTGGTGATATCTGACATCACAGCTCGCAGCTTTCGGGTGAAATGGACCCATGCACCGGGCAAGGTGGAGAAGTACCGCGTGGTGTACTACCCCGCCAGTGGAGGACAGCCGGAGGAAAAAGTACACGGATTAGTATTTGTTGGAGTCACATTTGGTTAATCATACTTCCTTGCACATCACTGTAGGGTCGATTCTGCAAGTTAAATTCATCCGTTAAAGTGATTTCTATTGTAAAAGGCAGAATTTGCAGTTACGTGATCATAGCGGCCATTCATTGTGGCAGAACCGCAGGATGAAGAAGGGAGCCCTAGAAGTTATCATTTACATGTGATGCAGAGCTGATTTGCTCTCTAGCTTGGTGACCTTGTCTGTGTCTTCACCCAGCACCTCTGTTGGTATAGTGTGCACTGCATGCTGTGCGAAAGGTGTTTCCCCAGGTGACAACACATTTTCAAGTGCCATCCTGCCTTCAGCCAACCTTTGTTTGGACGTCTCTCTGCATATAGAAGCACACAGTGCTGTAATTTTCAGAGTTTTACAGCTCCCTGTTATTTTTATCCATTTTTTCTTTGATGTTGATTACAACTTGCAGCTGAACACCCCACATTCCCCACAAGGAAAACTGAGGTTTCATCAAAGTTAATCTGATCTAGTTACACTCCATTTTAATTTCTTTGGAGAAGAGCTCAACGCCTACAGCAACATGTGGTGCAATATGCGGTCGCTCAGTGAACAGAGGCTTTTGGGATGTTTTAAAACATGCTGCTGTCTGTTAAAGCACAAACTCTGATGTAATTCAAGTGGATTTTTAATAATGCTCCCATGTATGCCCCTGAACGCACGTCTAAAATGACTAAAGATAATGAACATGTCAGACGTTCTCATTTAGTGCGTAGACATGTGAGCTGATTACTTTGTCTCTTTTTACTTCAGTATTATAAACACATTGAAAAGGAGGTGTTTGTACTGTAGTGTCCAGGCTGAGACCCTGTGTGATCCGTCTTTAAGGTGGTGCAGGGGACAGAGAGCACTGTGGAGCTGAGCTACCTGAACTCTCTGACGGAGTACCAGGTGGCCGTTTTCGCCGTCTACCGCAGCTCGGCCAGCGAGGCCCTGAGAGGGAGTGCTACTACATGTGAGTCTGTCTCCAGGGATTCAGTGTCATGGGGGATTGTTGGGGCTACAGCAGTGTTGAGATCTGAGCGAGGTGTTGATCTGGCTTCAAAAGATGTAGAGGCAAAAGAGCCACGTCCTGCTCCCTCCTGAACTTCCTGCAGGTCTGTGTGGAGGTAGACCAGTGGCTCAGGTTTGACTTTTTCACCGTGTAGAAAAAATATCATCAGCTTTTCCCATTGACCTTTAACAGATCTTTTTCTGTTGTCACTTAAGCCCACTTTCCCTCACCCACCCAGTTTCCTACTTTTTGTCTGGCCTTTCAACAATCCCCAAGAGGACCATTCTATTTTTTGTGGGGTTTTTTTTCTGCTCACCTGCTTGTTCCCTGCATTCTGATCCTTTTTCTACAGTATTTACCGTCAGTGTTTCCTCCTGGAGCTGCAGCAAATCTCCAAACATCTGCAGTGTCTGTGTCTCAACAGAAGGATGATTTGATTTTGATTTTGATTTGATTTATTCTTTCAAACATGTAAAGACAGTCAATATGTCAACACACATAATTTCACACATATCCACAATTGCTAATTCATTATCAATTTGCTTATACCTAGTACATACTTGAATGGAGTAGGAAGAAGTCAGACTTATCCAGTCCTACCCCATGACATCATCTTACCATCATTGGTTTGCAAGCAGTATCTCTACATAGATAATTCTCTTCTACACCACACAAGTAATATACTAAAAAAATTATAACAGAATGTTAACATTCTTACATAATTACATTCTTAAATAATTATCTTCTACACCACACAAGTAACATACTAAAGAATTAATACAAGGTGTTAACATTCATACACCACACCCACAATGTTCCATCTAATTAATCATTAAGCCT